CATAAGGCAGTTAATAGCTAAAGGTTTGCAAAACAGCAACTGAAATCAATTTAAGCAAATCAATTGCTAAAAGTTAAACATTTAGTAAAACAGTAGTTAAAACCTAATACAGTAAGTAAAATAAACAAAATAAAACAATGCAAAAAATAGCTAAATGCTAAAGCTAAAGCAAATATGCTAAAGTGGATTTCACAACATTTTGCAAAGATTTTAAGGTCTTAATTTGTTCTGAGGGAYAGAGGAAGATAAAGCATTGAAAACCTATAAATCATAGCTGTGATATCTTTAACAAGCAGAGTTCTGATAAATGAATATCTGAAGGTAAAATAAACAAATAGTTTAAATGGCTGAAGGTAAAATATGCTGAAGTAGTTATAGTTCAAAGATAGAAGAAACTACAAATAAATAAACAAAGGTGTGAATGTTGAGTATAACACACCAGTATAAAAAATGATAACCTTAACAAAAAGTATGGAACTGCTTTTCAAGATCTCTTTTCAAAGGAGCGAACATTCTGGCCTCATGGAACAAAATGTGAAGACATGAAGAATAATGTCATTTTTACACAGTGAATGAATGGAAACAATTCAGCAACACATAAACACAGTGATGGAAAAATACTGCAGAAAGTGAAAGAATGAAGCAACACATTTCCTCTGTTAACATGTAACAGAGACAAAAAAAAACCCCAAAGACAATCCAGACATGGACGAGCCTCRGTGTAACTCCACAACAACAACAWCAAACACTTGTGCAAAGTAAAAACACTAAAAGAAATCATCATGAGGTTTTKATTCCACGTTAGTCAGTGTGTCGCTCCATGACAGCTCCAAACAGTGCAGCAGGTGCTGCATCTTTCATCCATAAAGATGTTCAGCACAATCAATGTCATAATGAGGGTTATTATATGATCGAGCTGGAAATTGCTGACATCCATTTCCACGTCCGTGCTAAATAGAGTAATGATTGTCATCAGCCTGCATAAATCGGCTCAGTTTCTCAATGAACCTTTAYGCGCCGCAGCAGACATAAACCTAACCTTTTATGTGTGTTTGTGAGTTAAATTAGATCAGCAATTTGGTCTTTTATTTATGATGGCTTTTCATGAGGTTGTAATATTTATCAACCACTGCTGATTTTTAAAAGGCAGACACACATTCCTAAGCAGCAGTTTGGTTTAAAAAAAATTCTTGGCTGAGACTTTTATTGGCTCAATTTGAAGACAACACTTGGAGAGCAGACTGAGCAGGGCTTTAGCGCACTCTGGTGGTGAAAATATGCAACTACATTCAAAATAAACGAAAACATGCAAATAAGTAGTGTGTTACATAATAACATGCAGGTGTGTATAAATAACCTCACGTGACAAATATTAGAACCTGTGACAATGTTCAACTCTCCTCTTGCTCTAACTCACAGCGAAGTGGCGCCTGGAAGCACAAACACCTGCTTGCACATGCACTGGGACACACTCTGCTGGCTGGCGTGCTTGGGTAGTGGAAAGCCCTGACACCGTTCATTAATCACTAWGTTGGGTTTTGATGCCACAGCAGGAATGAAAATGCTGCTCTGACTTTAATAGATATACTATAGTGCCCTCATCAGCTTCAGCAAAGTTCAGAGCTGCAGGAAGTTCCCACACAGCCGAGAGGAAGAGCTCTCATTTGCTGAAACTAGAACAGCTTCTGCAGGATTTGTGTGTTCTGGGTGGGGGGAAAGTTTATGTTTTATGATGAGGAACATCTTGTAGTCAGATTAGGACCTTATTGTTTGCTTATGTTGTATTAATAAACTATAAATAAATCATATTCTTTAACTTATCCTACTTTTTTTCTGGTTTAAGAGCTGGRTTTATGGTTGAAAAGTTGTCGACAAGTTGTTGTGAACTTGATGATCTTGATTTAAAGCACCAGAAGCATTGGTTGTCAGACTGAATTTCAAAATGACCAGCATGTCAAATGAAAGTTGTTGGGCACCAGTTAATATATTATACTCAAGAACATGGGTTTAGACATAATTATGTCCCTAAATATTCTAAAAGTCTAATTCTGTTCAATGCAGGTGTGGCTGATGACCATTTTAAGATGTCTGCCGTACTAGTTAGACCATATACACTCAAAATCAAGTAAAAAAAAATTTCAATACACTTTACAACATATTTTGGGATCTACTTTGACTTGTTTTTTTTTATGTCAAATCTTTCATTACGGATTTGCAATGACACCGTTTTGTACTGTTTGCTTACTTTCTGACTCAACTGCATGAGCTGTGTTTGGTGAGTGTAAAAATAGTTTCCATGAGCTTTTAGCCAAGATTCTTAGGTTTTATTGATACCAAACATGTCCAGGCTCAACTGACAGATATTAAGTTAACAGAAAATAAATGAAATAGAAAACGGGAAAGATGTTTTGCTCATGGAGCTCAAGAACTTCATACAGTCATTAGCATCCTTTGTTCCAGGGGTGTAAGAAAATATCGATACACTGAAATATCACGATATTTCATTTCCCGATACTGTATCGATATTCTAAAGCCCTGTATCGATTTTTTAATTAAGGCTTAAAATGTCAACCTTCTTGCCAACCGATCATTTTTGTTGTAGTTCAGCCTCTGACCACTAGTTGGCAGCAGTGAGCCAGCCACTTGGATCCTCTACCTTTTGAGCGCCAGAGAGTAAGGGTAGCATTAGCATTGTAAGTAAACATTAGCTTTTCTTTTCTTTTTTTTTCAGTAAGAGGTTTTTATTTAAAAGAATTTTTGGACAAAAAAATCGCAATATATTGCCTTGCGTACAGTATCGCAATATATCGGGATATATCGTATCGTGACCCCTCTGTCATGATATGTATCGTATCACCAAATTCTTGCCAATACACAGCCCTACTTTGTTCTCCAGCAGATTTCATTTGTCAGATAAGGTTCCTTCTGTATAATTACTGGGGCAGCGGAGATGAAGTGAAGCTGTGGAGTTAAAGCAGACGCATCCTGCTTTTAAATCTTTCTGTTCTACATTTAAATCATCCAGTTGGGTCTATAAAAAGTGGGACTAAATGCTTTGCTCTGAATTCCTCCTTATTGCAACTCCATAAGCCCCTCTTTCACCCCTTTTCTGAGGCGTCTCAGATCAACTCGTTTTGATGCTGTCTCTTTAAATCCAAACAAGGTGCAACAAACCCCGCCCCCTCCAGCTTCAAGAGTGGTTCATTCTAGTTTGATGGACTACATCAGTGGTTCCCTGGAAATATTTTCTGAATTAATTACACTAAAAAATTACTTTTTTGCCTTTGTTGTTGCCTAAAATTGACAAAAATAACGTAATAAAAAATTTATACGCTCTTGTGAATTTGGCGGGAAAACAATTGTGAACTAACAACAGCTGGGGGCACAGGTCTCTGCTGGGGGTATTTTGTGCGTCAAAAGCTGAAAATTTTGCAGAAACGTTTTATTTACAAATAACTGAAACTAAGTTCAGCTTTTCTTCACTTGTACACAACAAAATGGATTTTGCGTGTCCTCTTTAAAACATGAAATCAATTCTTTTGTGAACAAATGTCTGAAAGCAGTAAAAGACTGTGGTGGATGTAGAGGTTTTGGGTTTTCAGAGCAAACAGGATGTCCTACATGTGTGGCTGCTGCAAATGTCAAAGTTTTGTTTCCGTACCTCATCGATGGTCTCTAACAAAAGCATAAATAAAAGCACAAGTGGAAAAGATGGACAAAAACACATTTTTATACAAAATTAGACCTTTTTAATATACAGTTTATGCAAAACAAACTGTTGATGTAAAATTAACTTCAAAGACTTGGTATAAAATGTTCTGCCTCCACACCGGACTTCATTTACACACTGAAAGCACACTAACTTTATACAAAGTGGCATTCAGCAACTGCAGTACAAAACTATTAACTTATAGCAACAGTAAATACAAGCCAAGCTCACTTTTACTTTTTGGAAAAACATCAAGTATTTCGGGGAAAATGCATTTTAACACACTTACTTACCAACTGGTCAAAGTGTTTCCTTTAAAGCAGAGATTCTTAACCTATGGGCCTCGAGGGCCTCAGAAGAACAACAGTTTTTAACTTTGGGCCGCAGAGGGCCATGGGACCGCATTGATTTTGAATAAGGTGTAATACACTTTCTCACCA